CTAAATGTACCTGCGGGACAGCGGTTTGGCTTCGGCAGCTCAGGGTTTACAGTGCGGTTGCGTTGGCAGAGTTGGGCAGGTTAATTTGGCTATTCGTTTCTGCGGGCGACAGTCGGCATAGAAGCGAGAATTCCGCTCCGGTTAGACACCCCGTCACTCCCTAGCCAATATAAATAAGTTCGATTTGATTAAAGGTTATCTAATCTCATCTGAACACCCGTTTTCAGCTTCTCATTTCAAACATCGGATACCATGGATTTGCACCGTGGAAGCGTCTTCTACTGGCAGCGGCGTGTCGAGCTATGCGCGGAGTATGCTTACTACTGAAAAGGCTACTACATTTCATTCCCTGGGGATTAACCTTTGAGAATAAATAACTGTGGACTGAATTGTCATTTATTAAAGGATTGTTTATTTGTGACGGCATGCCTACTCGCGTTCTCATCACTGTAATACAGTAGTAAATGAAGGAAGTTACTTGAAAAAGCAATCGTTATACAGCATTAATGTGCAGGTAGTGTCAGGACACTTCATTCCAATTCAACACTTTATTTCCCAATATGCTGTAGCTTAACAGGGCCTAACAATGTCCACTGTCATGATATTCAGTGTCCAAGCAAAATGACTCAAGGATTTATATATGGAATGTACGTCGTATGGTAAATTTGCACAGGTAAGTAACTTAATTATATACTCATAGCTCAGACTGACAGTCCAATTCTACTTTACGTCAGACTGAGCTTCAGTTAAATTTTTCTTGTTATTTCATTTTTAACTGACGTTAAATCAATTTAGTTTCTAAATGACTTTTTTCTGATAACACTTTATTTGATTGGGCACAAATACTTAGTAATAACTCAGTTACTACTGAATTAAAAATCATGAACAAATATAATTGCTACTTGAGAAAAGATGCATCATGATTCATTAATGATGAACAAACGTGAGATCAGTATGTAAGTAAGAATTAATTTGTAGGTAATTAATATTTAAGCAATATTAAATGATTAATATGCTCCATCTGGAGATAACACTTCATTTGCTTCTCCGGATTAACTGTGTTTAGTTCTTTCACAGTCAACTAGGAAGAGAACATTTTGTTAATCCCGAGTCTAAATTTCATACCTTCACACAGGACATTAGGAGTAATTTCATGAATGGTGAATGGGCCTCATCATCTTCAGATGGGTCAGCCAAACACTGTTAGAGGACAGTAAGCAAGTGCAAATAGTCAGATAGGCCTACTGACATGTGAAATACTCATGCATGAACTTATATCTCTGCGGGCCTCACTATATGTCCCCTCACTGAATAGATGTTGGACTTCCTTCCTGTAGACAGATTCATCATAATCACTTATCAATCCTGCCACTGTGGTGTGGTTTGCTAATTTGATGACGGTATTTGAGCCATGTGCAGGAACACAGTCATGGGGGCAGCGTGTGGCTCAGTGGGCTAAGCCTGTATACCTGTAATCACAAAGTCGCCAGTTCAAACCCAGCCTCAGCATGGCTGTGAGTCCTTGAGCAAGGCCCTTAACCCCCAGCTCCCTGGGCGCCCCAACAGGTGGCTGCCCTTCATGGACAACTTACTCTTCAAAGAGCAAGTTGAGGGAGGCGTAAAAATAATTTCCCCACAGGGATCAATAAAGTATTAATTATTATCAATTAAAAGGGAATAGAAAAGTGTACTGAGCACACAGCCCTTTGGGACACCAGTGTTCAGGGTCAGATTAGATGAGGCGAGGTTGTTTAATCTAACAGTCTGTTAGTCAGAAAGTCAAGTGTTTGTTTCCGGGAGGTGCTGAGATCCTTGGGTTTGTTGATCAAATCGGAGGGGATGACTATATTAAATGCAGAGCTAAAATCAACGAATAACATTCTGACATAGGTGTTATTCTTGTTCAGGTGGGTCAGGGCAGAGTGAAGAGCTGTGGATACAGCGTCCTCAGTCGACCTGCTGGAAAGGTATGCAAACTGCTAGGGATCTAGTGTGGGAGGTAGGCTGTCTGAGCCCGGGTGGTACTGGGCCCCCCCAGATGGAACTTAGGTTCACCCATTCAGTGTTCAAAGTGAGTGGTACCTAATTCGAATTATGGAGTAGCTAAGGGGAGCTCGGCCCCCCTGAAAAGAACACAAGCTCCCTTGAGACGTTTAGGCCATTAAACTTCTTGAGTGATTATGTTGTTGTTATTGTGCCTATATGAAATGCTACTGACGGACTTAACCGCCTGCAGTAGTAATAGTAGAATGTTTTTTTGCAGTAACCCTGTTGGGGCTGCTTCCGCAATGGAGGTCCGGAATGTCCCCAACTTCCCCTGGTACGTAGCTGCAGTTCTGCCGGAGGTGCAAGTTGAAGATCTGGCGAACAGGAGCCTCTGCCAGGCGTTCCCAGCAGACCTTCACTATACACTTGGGTCTGCCTGGTCTGACCAGCTTCCTCCCCTGCCACCTGAGCCAACTCACTACCAGGTGGTGCTCTGCCCCTCTCTTAACCCGAGTGTCCAAGACAGAAGGCCGCAGATCAGCTGATACGATTATGAAATCGATCATTCACCTGTAGCCCCGGGCATGTTCATACCATGTCCACTTATGGACACGCTTATACTCGAACATGGTGTTCGTTATGGACAAACCATGCATTGCTCAGAAGTCCAATAACAGAACACCACTCAGGTTCAGATCAGGGAGTCCATTCCTCCCAATCACCCCCTCCAGGCCACACTGTCGTTGCCCACGTGAGTGTTGAAGTCCCCCAGCAAAATGATGGAATCCCCTTCTGGTGCACTAACCAGCACACCACTCAGGGAGTCCAAGAAGGCCGGGTACTCTGAACTGTCATTCGGCGCATAGGCACAAATGACAGTCGGGGACCTCTCCCTGACCCAAAGGCACAGGGAGACTGCCCTCTCGTTCACCGGGGCAAACTCCGATGTTAATGCACCGAGCTGTGGGGCCACCAGTAGCCCCACCTCAGCCCGGCATCAGTCAACCACCCCAACTCCAGAAGAAAAGAGCATCCAGCCCCTCTCCAGGAGATTAGTTCCAGAGCCCATGCTATGTGTTGAGGAGAGTCGACTATATGTAGCTGGTATCTCTCAACCTCATGCACAAGCTCAGGCTCCTTCCCCACCAGAGAGGTGACATTCCATGTCCCGAAAGCCAGTTAGTCAGTCGGGGATCGGTCCACCAGGATCTCCCTTGGCTGCCACCCGATCAACATCGCACCGAACCCTTGACATTTCCCTTGCAGTTGGTGGGTCAACCACCAGGTTCTCACCAACGGGCCCCTCCTCCAGGCCTGGCTCCAGGGTGGGGCCCCGGTGACCATAGTCCGGGCGAGGGTAACGAGACCTTGCTATAATATCTAATTATCTCGAGATAAAGTACAATGAAGCAAATTAAAGCTCTTTGCGTAAATCAGTCGCTACCGGTGTCAAGGTACCTCAAGATTATGTTGTGAAAATGAGTCCTATTATCTTGAGATAACGTACCCTGTCATCTGGGAATTATATTTACATCGTTTCAGGCTCATTCAAGTTTACAGTAGCTAAATCTTTAGAAGTTTTATAATAAAAGCACATACTAAGTAGACACACAATAATAATGTCAGGATTAGTCCCTGCCATGTGGAGGCATGAGTCTCTGCTGGACGGAGTGGGAGATATTCAAAGTGGTCTTGTCAAAAGGTCATTTCAATTGGCCAAAAATGATGCCAATAAATGTTATTTCAGAGACACCAGACATTAACCAGACACATAGGTCAAGCAACGACTATGATTAATAGACATCTATAACTAAATGCCTGTTTAAGTTTTGCATATTAGTAGCCCCACCTGTCGCATGATGTGGAGTTTCAGATTTATTTTTTTTACAATGTCTGTCAGCAAACTGACAAAAGACTGACCAGTGGTTGCATTACACTTAACCAGTGCCACAAGCCTCTCATTGCCAGCATCAGTCACATTGGTCCTGTAAGGTGTCCTGAGTTGTGTCCAGCTGAACAGTGAACATTCAAGCCTTCTGAATGTCAGTGGAAATTGTTTCTTGAATCAGGTGTCGGTATCTATTACTGAATTTACAGTTGTTTTAGAAAGCAGTGTGATGAGGGACCCTCTCTAAAAAACTGCCGTGGTCTATACTGGTGTATTCAAGAGTGTATGCAGCCTTATTTTGCGCTTGCCAGTAGCTAAGCCCCTGCTTTCCTAAAACCTTAACCACATCCACTGCACGCTCTAAAACATGGCTTCTATTTCGAACCTCTGCGTTGTGAGCAGAAATTTGACTGCCACCCAGTAGACTGTCTATCAGCTTTGGAAGCACTTCAAAAATAAGCTTCTGCACAATGTCTATGCCCAATACTTTTTTCGTGACTCTCTGTGCACCGGTGCACATGCCTCCAATACAACATTGACTACAAGCGGTGGTCTTTCCATACACCATGCAAACAGAGCAAAACAATGCATTGCATTCTTCACTGTATCGTAGCCACTTTCTTTAGGTGCCATTTTCACACAAAACCACTTTCTGAACCACTGGCTTTTTAGTGTTTTGTGTGAAGATTTTACAGTGGGTGGAGAGACAATCCCACCACCGACCCCCACATTTTCCCCTGCAAGTAGGAGGACCACTTACAAGGTGATCACACACAATCACACCTGTTATCTTGGTGAGGATGTTTAAATAACTTCACATAAATGTTGGGGGGAAAAGCTGTATGATACGTTTTGAAAAAATGAATATGCCCAACATCAGATTTTTAAATACTGAAATCAGTATCTGTAGGCTGCTCTCCCACCAACACTGGACCCCCGTCAATACGAATACAGAACCAATAGATCAGACGACTATCTCCACTGCTCTTCATGCCGTTCTGGTCCACCTGGAACAACCAGGGACATATGCAAGGTTGTTATTTGTGGCCTGAGTGGGCCAGCAATCGTGCCCATTCAGTTCAATTTTATTTGTATAGCAATTTCACATCATCTCAAAGCAGTTTACAGCATCCCCACTCAACCCTCCCCCCCCATGAAAAAGCCAGAGAAGACAGTGGCAAGGCTAAACTCCCTAGAAGGAAGAAACTGAGGAATGCTTATACTTGCCTGAGGTAAAGGAGTTGGTGATGGGAGCTCCTTTTATTGTCCTTAGCATAGTAGCACCTTGGAATAACACCTTGGTTGTGTAACAAAGACCATAGCAAAGATCAGGAAGCAATATGTAAGTCTTGGCTAGTAAGGGCAGGAGATATTTGAATAGTCTGTATCCACAGTTAGCAGCACCAGAGCTAAGACACAGCTACTATAATAATTGCATTGATGAGCAGCCATTATCTGCAGTGGACTAATGATCCACATGGTTCAGTGTATATTTGCATTAAATGACAGTTGAATTCAGTCAGTCAATTTAAGCCACACCACCCCCAGGAGAACAGCAAAGGGAGTTCCCGCAAGCCCATTTCTAGCTCACAAAAATGCACCCCACAGCAAGCTTTGCACAAAAGCATTTATTGCTCAGTAGACCACAATTCAGAATTGCACCAGAAAGCCCCCCTAAGTCACAGGGACAAGCAGTGTACATTTCCACAGCCCATCTGGCAGCATTGCAATGGCCCAGGACAGTAGGAATCCTGGGACCACCGAACATCCCTTTGATGGGGGTCAATCTCACTTTCCTGTAGAGGAAGTAGGCAACGGGGTTATAATCCATAGAGCATCAGTTACTCTGGGTTTAAATCACAGCCATACTGTGAACTATGGAAGGGGACAGTAGGTCCACTGCATGTTTAACATCGCACAGCGATTCATGCTATTCATGCACAGTCCAGGATTCCTGGGCTCAGGAAAAGGTTTGACCTTGCAGGCCCCAAGGAAAGACAGGTCATCCACCAGAAGCCATTACTCCTTTCCTTCCCAACATTACCTGTAGCTGGAGGTGCACACAGGTGACCACAGCCATTAGAACAACACTTCCAGCCCTTGGGACAATCTTTGTTAGCAGTACATATTGTGTCCCCTGCCTTTGTGATGCGACATGGAACTGGCTTTCCTTCAGAAGCAAAGATCAGACAAAGGCATTAACATTACACCAATACAGATGCCACCATTTCCTATCAGCCCAGCTACAAGCTGGCACTCAGGTCAGTGAGGCTCCAAGAGAAAGTTGCATGCAAAAGTCAGGACATGAATCCCACTGTTCATCAGGGGGTGGGTGGAGGAAGGAATCTTTACTAGGATTTCAGCTGAACCATCTGGTTATCTAGCCCAGTCCAGACTGCTGTTGGGGGTCCTTTAGTGTCATGCCAGTGGTCACCCTAGTCTTTCCCAGTCACTAGGGAAGAAGGAGCACATTTGTGCATTTTCATCACTCAAAAAAGGAGGGAAGTACTTACCAAGAGCTGGTAGGTCACAGTAACTGAAGTTAAAGGCACAGCACTTCATTTTGCCAGGACACTCATTATCACAGGTGCAGAACGATTTTGATGGCAGTTCCCCCATACTTCTTGGACAGGTCCCAGGTTTACCAACTAGATAGGAAAGCCATAATATAGGCTCACTCATACTGTAACTGTATTAGTCTAAAACCAAAATGCATGCAAAGGCACAAGCACATCTTTAGTAGAAATTGTTACATTCATTTAAACATCATTCCAAATCTGTAATTTAACATTCATTCAGGAATTTGTTCAGATTTGGAGGGATTTGCTTGGACAATACAGCAATATGAACAGAACTGAAATCTGTCTTCATCCATTGTTGAGATCAAAGACAACCCAGTCACCTTTTACAAATGGTTATTGGCAAAATAAGGGCCACCTTTCACTTAAAAGAAAGTGTCAGTCAACATAGCAATTAGCTACGACTACTTGTAGGGTTAGGTTTTCTTCTACATTACCATCAATATAAACAAGCATAATCAAACGTAGGCTAATTCTGAGGGGGCGTTAAACTTACTCATACAGAATATTTCCTGGAATCCAAATACCAACGCAAATAACCACTCAGCCATGACAATAACCGCCAGAAACACCCGCATGATTGCTGTCCTGTCGTCTATTGCTTTTTACTTAGCGTGGTACTGACTTTGGAAAACGCCAATTTAAAGGCAACTTTAAAAAGAGGCGTGGCGAAAGGACGGCGCTACATTTGTCATTGATGCATCGCTTTTCGCACAATATATAGCGTACTATAAAATGTATTTTTAGTTTTTCATTCTCAATTATCGCTTAATGTAGGGCTTGTATAATTTAAAATATGTCTCAATGTTGAATATATTTATTGAAACTGCAATATACCAAAATACCTGTTTCTACAATTGCGAACACGTGAGAATACGGACACCGTTAAAACACAATTAAAGCAAAAAAAAAAAAAATACAAAAGCTGTTTTTTTTTACTGGGATTTAAAATTGTTTTGTACTGCAGTACACCTGATTTTGTTCAGTTCGAATGTATTTGATATATATGTTAATATATAAGGAAAATATATACATTTTATATGTGTGTATATATACATGAACAGACCACATATATCTAATAATATTTATTTTTTCTTAATTGTCGATTCTTAACAGCATTATCAATATAATAGATATGATATATTTCATTGTTCCTTTAACTGAAATATAATTTGCTATTGCCACTATACTGGGAAGCAACTCATGTGCTTTACCCTTGAGTACACGAAATGTTCCATCAAAATAAAGACTTGGACAAGTAAGTTAACTGACAAAGTATTTTTTGTACGGTTGATTTCCCGCGTATGCACCAGCAGCCTGAATCAGAAATGATGCGAATAAGAGCCGATTTACGTCGTCCACCTTATATATTTACGTCGCTATTCTGCTATTTGTGTCTCTTGTAGGAATTAACTTTAATGATTAAATTACACTGCGTTGGGCTGGCCCCCCCATCCTAGGTTGTTCCCCGCCTCGTGCCCATAGCTTCCGGGGTAGGCTCCGGACTCCCCACGACCCAGTAGAAAAAGCGGTTTGGAAAATGGATGGATGGATGGATTAAATTACATAAAATTGGACTGTCGTTACGTCATGGCTGCTTCATTACTGATCTGTATTCTTCGCAAAGGTGTGTGCACCATTATACCATTTATAGAAATTGTTCTAGTAGTTTTTATTGTATAGTTTTAATATCGTTTGTGTCGTCATTGGACTTCCGGTGTGACGCAAATCTACGTCACAGTAACAGTCTTTGCGAAACAGTATGGCCGCCACGGAGGTAATGGCAGTGTGTGCTGCCGGCCAGCGTATGTTAAGTTCAGGCTCAGCTAACTCACTTGAAAATGCTTCAGAATCCCTCTCGGAAGATAACCCTGATCTACGGAGTGTCTTGGTTACAAGTATTTTAAACCTGGAGAAACTCGACACAGACCTACATAGGTAGCTCTGAAGATCATATTTTGTATAATCTCATATTAATATTATGTTTGGCTGGCTTACACACATGAATTACTGTCGCGACATTTATAGAAGATATGAAATGAAAAATATTAGTATACTGTTTTGCTATCCATTGCTGAAAGTAGTATTCAATGTCAAAGTTATGCGATGTCGATCAAGGTATAATGCATTTAATATGGCGAATATAATTAATCTCAATGAACACATAACTGATTATTTTAGATGGTGGTAATTAACATGACTATCAGCTATCTAAAGTTTTTCCACGTTTCCTAAAGAGGTACACACCACTGGGTACCCCGTAGTCAGCGATTGTTTGGGGGCCAGATAGTAGGCCAGGCGCTTGTCGCCGCTGCTAAGTCCGTCAGTGAAGATGTCTTCGCTCACTCTCTACACTGCTACTTTGTCCGAGCAGGTGAGCTAACATTCTTTTGCAAAAATTCTTTTGCAACAGTGCATAACAAGCTTGTCCATGGTGTGTAAGGATTTAACATATCCCCATATTCTACTCGCAGGAGACCCAAAAGTTCCAGTTTTGTATCAGGTCGATAGGACAAGGGATGGGAAGAGTTTTTCAGTTCGCTCTGTGAAGGCCATTCAGCATGGTCAGCCTATTCTGATATGCCAAGCCTCTTTCCACACGCAGCAGCCCAGCCCTCTGCAACATCAATTCACTATGCCTAATGTGCCCCCTCCTGAAGAACTACTGACAATTGAAGAACTGATCCACCGATATCTGAGGTACACTACCGTCCCTACATAACATCATTCTGTCTATGAATGTACTGCATTTTAATTGTCAATTTCTAAATCATGGGTTAGGTCGTGTTTTTTACCAATTTGTACTGTGTTGATAGTAATCCGGATTTGGCTGAGAATGCCAAGCTGGGACTTAACAAAATTTTGGCTGATGAGGTTCCCATTGAGATTAAGCCAGTCAACCCACCTGATTTCTACAAACGTGTCGCCGTGGAGCCAAAAAAACTATTCTGGGTTCGAGCCAAAGGATATATCGGTATGTTTCAGATCTCCAGCAAGTGCCACAAATTGAAAAGTCTATGAATGTACAGTATATTAAAAATTTATGATTTTATGAATTATCAAGAGGTGGGGGGGGGGGGGGTCTTGTGTGTGTGTGTGTGTGGAGTTTGCTTGTTCTCTCTGTGTTCAGTGTCCTTCCATTACTCCAGTTCCCTCCCCCAATCTGATAACATTGGCTTCTGTAAAATTCTCGTAGTGTGTAAATGTGTGTGTGTTGAGTGATGGACGGTCATCCTGTGTAGCAGGGTTTCTCAAACTCCAGACCATGGTCCAGATACAGACAGAGCCACAAGTTAATAAGGACCCTGCCGATAATGCACTTTATGAATCAGTGTGGTTAACACAAAAAAGCTTAAATTGGTTTGAAGTACAAAAATACAATGTAGATCCACCAAACCTTGCACACACATAAATACAATGTAGATCCACCAAACCTTGCACACACATAAATACAATGTAGATCCACCAAACGTTGCACACACATATCTCGCCCCCACATTCACAAATAGTGGAAACGATCAGTGTGCATTAAACTAGTCTTTACGTTAAGATCCCATTATTGTTATGTATTGATATTGAAAGTTTTTGTTAATTCATTTAAATTCAGGATTTTTTTTTTATTTATTGAGAAGTGTTTCGGCCCTCTGACTTTGAACAAAAATCTGATGCGGACCTTTGATCGCAGTGTTTGAGAACGGCTGCTGTGTAGTGTACTCCCCCAGTCCCAGTCCTACCTGGGATAGACTCCAGCCCTGCCCCTTGTGACCTTAAGTATTTTTAGAAAATACATTATTGAGGGAAACTTTTATATCCATTTGTTAAAATCGTTTTTCTGTGCTGGCAAATACCACAATATAAATTTATGGCATTTTTATTAACAGGCGAAGGAAACATGAAACTACACTGTTGTGTTGCTGCCTACGTATCTGACTACGCTTTCCTTGGGACGGCATTGCTGCCTTACCCAGGCTATCGGGTTCAGTTCTTGGCCTCCCTTGATCACGCCATGTGGTTCCACAATCCCTTTCGTGCAGATCACTGGATGTTATATGAATGCGAGAGTCCCTGGGCAGGTAGGTAATGGTGGTAAATAACTCTTGTCCATGGTTACAGTATATGTATGTTTTTGTTTATACAAGCTTCCTTGATAAATACTAATTTGTTTCTAAAAACGCTTCACTAAAGAGATTTGATTATTGTAAACCTGAAGTGCAAAACAGTGCCTTTATAGATTGTCACTTTAGAAAGAGCAATGTGGCTTGTCAGTATCTGCATAAATACCAAATAAATGAATATGTGTGCATTCTACAGGGGGCAGCAGAGGGTTCGTTCATGGCCGACTCTGGAGGCGCGATGGAGTGCTGGCAGCCTCTTGTACCCAGGAAGGAGTGCTGAGGGTCAGAGCTGTGGCACAGAGTAATCTGTAAATGTAATTGTGGTGGACTTTCTCAAACCTGCAGAGCCACAGCGATAGAGAATATGATTTTGAAGTTGCTGAGACCAGAAAGTCTTTCTTTTTAGGCCAGAAGCAAACCACAGACTTCTGTTTTTCACATTCAAGTAAGCCAAATCCTGTGGAAGAAAGTTTAGAATCATTTTCAAATACTTTTTGAAGCCCAGTTAATAGAGGTAAAACATCTGTCTGTACCAGATTAAGCCCCAGAGGTAATCACGTCCCACCCCTGAATTATAAAACTGACAGTTTCATTAAACAAACTTATTGAGTTCACTTTGATCTGTAACCCTTTCAAATACTCAAATACCCAGCAATGCAATTTTATATTTCATAACCTGAATATAAAAAATAAACTACCATTGTTTTCTAACCAGTACATTTACAGATAAACATTAAATGACTATTTACTGAATAAGACAATCATAGGTGTTACCTGGATGTCATCTTTGGGCGGGCATTTGGATTATGTGGGTGGCCAACAGCAAAAATATTGCTTTTTCTAAATATGGTATGTAAACAAGAGTTTTGTTTAGTTTTGAGAAGGGGGGGGGAGACAAAAGGAATACAATTACAGAATGCAATTTTCATAGGGGGTGGCGTGGCCATTAACCTGTGAAAAAGAAAAAAGTAATTAAACTCTGTCTAGGACGGAACAACATCCAGGCCCAATATGATTAGCAGATACAATGAAACCTTTTTAAAATTTGTTTTTCTATATTGTTTAGGGCTGGGAATCAATAAAAAACAACTATGTAAACTTCTCTAGCTAAATTTCAAGAAACTTGGGTCAGAAAGAATGAAATATTTCTCAAATCATCTAAAAAACTTCTCACTGAGCAAATGTTTTGTTCAACACAATTAAATCTTTAGTTGATGCTTGTATGACTCATGGCCCTGAAACATTTGTTGAATTGTGCAAGAGAAATAGAAAGCATTAGGGGCTCTGCTATTCATGTCTCTCATTGTAACTCACATATAGATACTTCTTTATAGAACTTCGCTATGAACCCGTCACATTTTCTTGCCTGAAAGTTACAATCTTTCGCATGAAACCTACTACATCTCCCCTTGATGTAATCTTTTTCAAGAAACGTTTGATATTTTGCAGGATAGTGTTTCATCTATTTTAATTCCTCACTGTTTACTAGCATAGTTCCCTCCTGTTTTAAAAATTCCATTGTTCTGAAACCTCTTCTGATAAAATGAAAACTTGATCAGATTTAAAGTAGCACTTTTTCCCGATGGGGATCAATAAAGTATCAATGATTATATATAAACATTGTGTTGGTCTTCAAGGTGCAGCACTAAATTTCTTTATCTCTTACCTCAAAGAACAAACTTTTTTAGTTAATATTAGTGAGTTCTTTTCCTCTGTGGACCATGAAATATGTGTTACCCCAGGGGTCTATGGTGGAGCCTTTTATCTATATATTTGCTTCCATTGAGAGATAGCATTCAGAAGCATAACCTGGATTTTCGTTTTTATGCTGATATATACAGATATTTCTGTCCTTGTAACTGAATTATCCAGAGTCCTTGCAGAGGCCTCATGATTGCTTGGGTGAAATCAAAGGTTGGATGTTTCAAAAGTTTTTACAATTAAATGACAGTATATCTGAAGTCATTTGGCCCCCCAATACTGACTAAAAGCATTGTGGGAAATCTGGGTGTTGGGCCTTATCTGTGTTAAACCTTTTGCCAAAAATCTTGGTGTCATTTCTGACTCTGATTTCAAGTTTGCTAAGCAAATAACTGCTGTTGCTAAGAATAGTTTTTTTCCAGCTCAGGACAATTTCAACAATAGCCATACCATTCTTATGACAGGGAAAAACTTACACATGCTTGCATTTAAACTCATTTAAAATACTGTAATTCTCTGTACAATGGAGTCAGTCAGTCATGCTTAGCCTGGCTGCGGTTAGTCCAAAATGCTGCTGTGCAGTTTTTAAATGATGCGAAGAAGAGGGAAAACATAGCTCCAGTCCTGGCTTCCTTCCATTGACTACCAGTTCAGTACAAGACAGTTTATCATTGCCCATTTTATGTACATATACTGCATCAAGATTACCAAGGTCCTCTCACCAGCTACTTTTGTCCACTCCAAGGTCCCGGCTGAAAACAGTGGGTGACCTGCATTTGCAGTAGTAGCACCAAAGCTTTGGAGTAGCTTACCACTGCATATTAGACGCTCTTTTTCAGTTTTAGTTCTTTAAATCTGCACTTAAAACTCACCTGTATTCAGCATTGGATGAGACTTCATTGTACTACAGAGCAGACTGTGTATCTGTGTTTTATGTCGCTCTTGTGCCTTGATACCATGCTGTGATTTTCTGATCTATGCGGAGCACTTTGGTCAGCAAGGGCTGTTGTGAAATTGCTATATAAATGAAGTTGACTAATTAATCGAATCATTCATCATTATCTGTGATTAATCTTGATTAATTGCACCTAATATTAAAACTTATAATCATAAATATTTATATGGTGAATCCCCAAATTAATGTAGAATTAACACAAGTCGGGGAGCACTTTGGAGACAGATTCAAATTATGCAACTTCATTGTTTGAATTGTCTATTTTACCACTGTGATTGTTAATCAATTTGTTATGTCACCATTTATTTCTGTATTAAAAGTATTTAATCAAATCCAGGGCAAGAGTTACTGAAAAAATTACAAAACCAATAAAAAAACTGAACAAAAATATACATCATATCATACAGATTGGATGATTATTGTGGGTCACGTACAAGAAAGGTCAAAGATTTAAAAACGGTTCATGTATTTTTGTGTTACTAATTTTTGGCTACACATTTGGGGGAAATGGTTAAATATCATCAAATCAGAGCAACAAATAACATCATTTTAATATATCTAAATAGTTAATGCCAATTGCTCTACACAAAAAAAACAAACACTTATTTCACCATAATCTTTTTTTCTAAAAATTCTCAGGTTCATGAAAATGACTAATTTTAATATTTGTTTAATGGTTTGTCTTAAACTTGCAATGTGCAGATTATTCATTTCCAGCAAAAAAACTAGGCCTACTTGCACGCAAATATGAGCTGAATTTCAGTGCTTATAAAAAAGGGCTCGATGAACAGATGGCACTAAGAGAAGAGAGGGTGTTTTATTATAAGTAGGGATGTTAAACTATTCTTTATTTTTAATCACACACCTTAGTGCAGTTGGTTCAACTTTTTGATCAATGGTCCACATCAGATTTTTGCTCAAAGTCAGAGGTGCAGAACAATTTTCTGTAACAGTACAGCATTTCATGAACTTAAATTAATTAGCTTTAGATATTAGACATCATATATAATATATGCCCTTTTACATCAGTCATTAAATGCTGAGTATGTTCTATGAGTCTGTGGCAGCCAGTGAAATCCTGTTTGCTGTGAAATCCTGTGTGCTGGGGCAGCAAGCTGAAGATAGCGGACACCAAGAGTCTCAATAAACAGATCCGCAGAGCTGGTCATGTGGTGGGGCTGGAGCTGGAGTCTCTGAGAGCAGTGTCGGATAGGAGGATGCTGTCCAAGCTAAAGGCCGTCCTGAACATTGTCTCACACCCACTTCATGACATACTGGACAATCATAGGAGTTCCTTCAGCATCATATACACTACGGAGATGCCACAGGAAACCATTTCTCCCTGTGGTCATCAAACTGTACAACTCCTCCCTCTGAGTGTCTGTCACTCAGTGTCAGTAGACTGGTTCTGGTTTTATTCTTGTTAGTAAACTGAAACATGAACTCATGCATATCCATCAACACCTGTTTTGTTATATTTGTAACTGCATTATAATGACTACTGTGAAATAACTGTACAATAATTACTTGTGATGTTAATATAAAGCACAATACTATTTCTCCTTAGGTAAACTGCACACACTTTCTTATACCTTGTTATTAGTTATTTATCTATTTTTTTGCAATATTTTTTATTGTTATTGTATGGCTACTTAAGTCGCTCTTCTCTAATAACGACGGGAACTTAACATAAACACTGGTTTAATACTGATCGCTGATTGTCTAGACCAGAGGTCTCCAACTCTGGTCCTGGAGAGCTACTATCCAGTAGTTTTCTGTCCTACCTGGCTTCTGATGAGTGACACCTGTTCCTGGTATATACCCAAAAACAGGTGTGGCTCATCAGATGCCAGGTTAGATAGTAAACCTACTGGGTAGTAGCTCTCCAGGACCGGAGTTGGAGACCTCTGGTCTAGACTCTGTCATTGGGATGAGGGGTGGGGATTATGACGAGTTATGTGTTTGCAAGGATTGGGGGTTCTACATTGTATTCTTGTACTTTGAACCATATTAAGTCATTTGACTATAACCATATTGATTCATAAGGTGCATTATTGGCTGGGTTTGAATTAATTCACGGTGTGGTCCGCATTCGGACCTCGCTTCGGGCTTTGACAACCCCTGCCTTAGTGTACCTTGTCATAATCCCAGCATGTAACTGACCAGCTACATATCAAATATTGAGAAAAATCCTATTATTTTTTTCCCCGTTACAGGTCAGTTACCCACCACATGGCGAAACTCCTCTGGATTCCAGCTGGTGACTCCCCAGACAGAAACATGGTCCAGTCCCATACTCCGTAAATGACCATCCATCTCACGTAACACCTGGTTGCCACCAAAATGCGGAATTCACAAAACTCCCCCGACAGCAGAGGAAGATGTTCCACGCGCCTACCCGGATGGATCGCCTCAAACTGGGACCCGAGTGCCGCCATGCAGCAGGCGACACCTCATCACCACACCAGCCCCGACCCCCAACAGGCCTGAACTTGGCTCTCCAACAGTTTCGACTCTTCCAGGGATGAGACTCCCAAAGGCTTTCCCCCATCCCCTTCATGATGCATGCAGCCTTCCTGTGGGTGGCTGCAGCAGAGCTACACCTGCAGAGAGCAGAAGGGTATTGTGCCTGTCTATTTCAAGCTATTGCGAGTTGTTTTATGGTGGCTGGAGTGTCAGTCTCGCCAATAACCCCCATTTTTCCCCCTATAAGTTAGAAGACCGCTTAATGTCATACCCATTAAGACTACGTCAGGATTAGGCCGGTGCTTCATTCCCGTACGCCATTTAATAATCTCCTCAACATTCATAATAATTCAGAGTTTTGCAATAACATGCTACATAAAATTTACTACTTTCAAAATTATTTGCCTTCCACAGTGGAGCTATCCGCCATGACTGTTGTAATGACCCCCAACTCGGGAACTCGGGGCTTAAAGAAAATCCCGAGTTTGCCCACTGGAAAATACGACTTTGTAACGGCGTTCATGTGCTCCCATATCATTTCTACGATTTTTCCGACAGAACTTGAAAGCAGGGAAACTCCCAGATGCGCGGCAGCGGGCGGGCAGCCCGCCCCCAAAGCCCGGTGACGTGGAGCAGGGCGGTAATCCCGGAGCGAGCTGGAGCTACGCGGACCGGCCGCCTCACAGCACAGCGCACCGTGCACTGCGGAGGAGCTCGGCCAGCATGCCGCGCGTCTACATCGGGAGGCTCAGCTACCACGTCCGGGAGAAGGACATCCAGAGGTTCTTCAGCGGCTACGGGAAGCTGCTAGAGATTGACCTGAAAAATGGGTGAGGATATGTTTAGGGCGGCAGCTGGGAGAGTGAGGATTTCTGAGTATTTGTTTAGTAGGCTAAATGAGCCATGTCTGCTGCAAAAAAGCTGCCTTTTGGAAAAGCAACGCTTATGAAAAGTGTCCTTGCGGCTGAGACCGCAGCCCAACTCTGGCGTTTTGTTTGCACATCCACAAAATGGCGACGGAAACGTGGTCCTGGGAAGGTAACGGGAGGGACTGCATTGCAGGGATGTGGACCTTGATTAAAGCTGTAAAATTAAGCGCGGTTGATGCACTGTACATGTAGGTCTGTTCCAGAATAGCGTAATTAACATGTACGGATCAAACCAGACGAGTAGCAGTTGACCTAGTTTTGTGATTAAAACTGCGTCAGGATCAGGCCGCTGCCCCCCCCCATCGAGCAGCATGAGTGTAACATTGTTAGTGATCACTGGTAATGGGCTGTAACGCCTGTAAACTTAGGCCTCAACTTTTGTACCTGCTATGTGTAGCGTCTCATTGTTTGCACCGCCTGGCCCCACAATATGATAAAAACCTGTTACTTTTCACCGTGTGTGGACATTTCTCGGGGTCAACTCAGTTTAATAAATATCCGTGAGTGCCATTAAGAGAATTAATAACCAAAAGTGTAGTGTTTTGGTTACTTGTGCTTATTGCTTTTTGAAAGGGCTTTCACTGCATCGTAAGTCCTATTTATGCATTGTGTCCCCGGCTGGCTTGTGCATGTGCAGTGCAAATTTCCTCATTACTGGTTTGTGAGCAATTGGTTCCAATTAAGTGTTTTTCCCCATCATAAGAACTGTTCAGCTTTATATGACAAAGGTTTGCAGTAAACATTAAAACTCTATTATAGCATTTACTTTGGTTTGCTGTATAATAAGAGGAGTGAGCTATCCATCCATCTTCACTATCCAGTACAGGGTCCTGGTGACAAGGAGCTATTTAGGTGTTAGGAAATGTAATGAAAGAATATACATTTTTTTCTGTAAATTGTATCAGTCTTTTTTTTTGCAACTTCCTCTTACAGGTATGGTTTTGTGGAGTTTGAAGACACGCGTGATGCAGACGATGCTGTGTATGAGCTGAACGGCAAGGACCTGTGTGGAGAACGTGTCATTGTGGAGCACGCGAGAGGACCGCGGCGGGATCGCGATGGATACGGTGGGGGTTATGGGGTTCTGGGTGCAGTGAGTGCAGCCCGTCTAGTTGGCTTGCACAAAGGCAGCTCAGTTTTGTGCATGTGTGTAGATATGCAGTTGTATTGCTTTGTAAGCTCCCAAAACCGATTCTTTCAAGACTTTGGAACATTTTAGTGCATAGTATATTGGTGTAAGTTGTATACATCATGCATTATTAGTGGGGGTTTTCACAATAAGATACTTTATATCATTTCCTGATTTATATTTCAGTTGAGGCTTGATCTTATAACTTGGTTATCTCTATGGTCTGTTATTGTTTAATCACCATACTTGTAGCTGGGTTGTGTGTGTGTGTGTGTGTGTTTGTGTGTGTGTGTGTATGTGTGTGAGAGAGAGAGCGTGCTTGTGTGTGTGTGTGTGTGTGTGTGTGTGTGGGGGGGGGGGGGGGGGGGGGTGGGGGGGGGGGCAGGTTTGGGGTCTTCTTTCTCCACAGGAATTAAGATGGGTGGAATTTGCAATGCAGCACATCACAAGATGGCTTATGGAATTATTTAAGGACAGCCACGGTGGACAAAAGTTGCATTGTGTTCTTGTCCTTTAAGAGGGGGGATATTTTTAAGGTCACGTATTTACATGGCAGCTGTATTTACTTCACTTAATGTTCTTGGGTTGTGTGTACTGTAACTGGCATGTGTAGCTTTTTTCTTGGAGGCCTACAGTTTGGTTTTTTTTATCTTCAGGGAAGAGTCCAGCTGTCATGTAAATAACTGTGGCTATGATTGTGAACATGCATTGTGTATCTTCCACTTGACTTCAACATTAACAAAGTCCTTGATGTTTCAATTTGAAAGAGTCCTGTGCGGGCTGGGGCTGAGTTCGAGTCCATTGAGGCTAAGATGACTGCCTGTCCCGTTTGGCCTTGGCTTTCACCTTACAATGTGTGTGTGACCTTTGCCCTTTGGCCCTTTGGCTGACCTAACCGGAAGCCATGATGACAGCAGCCTTTTGCCAATAGACCAGGGTGATGGTGAGGAATCCCGTTGGTTTTTATGTTGAGAAATAATGGAAAGGTTAAAGCCGAAACGTGATGTTGCCGCCATCTATTTTACACTTTTTTAAAAGAGTGGTTGGTTTACAGTTATTACACCGGCAGTGGTAATGCTGCTCTGTCTCATCATTTGATAGATTTTGACACACAGATTGCTGACGTCTCTGGATAATGATACCCGATTGTTCTCCTCAAATATTTTGGGCTCAGGGATAAAGTGGAAACTATCCCTTGACCTAGTGACAATATTAATCAGTTCCAATTTATTGAGCAGCATCTGGGTGGTGATCTTAAAGTGAACCAGCATTCTGTCTGCTTTTATTAATGAGCAGAAATGTTGCAATTGCTTGAAATCACTCTTCAATGTGAATTAAACTGAAGCCTCTGCCATCGTCCTTATCTTTGTCACCATTTGTAAGCTCCTCCTTAGCGAGCCCGCATTTACGACACTGATTTAATTTTTGCTCTATTCCTTAAAGGCAGTAGTGGCTACAGCAGCAGAAGTCGTACTGGCAGAGATAAATATGGCCCTCCCGTCCGTACGGAGTACCGTCTCATTGTGGAGAACCTGTCCAGTCGCTGCAGCTGGCAGGACCTCAAGGTGAGCAGCGGCTGCTTGTTCAGCATCAGTATCATTTGAAGATCTTTTGTTTCTCTACTGAGCTATGGTGAATTTTTGATTATTGTTTTTTTTTTTAGGACTTCATGCGCCAAGCAGGAGAAGTCACTTATGCCGACGCCCACAAGGAGCGCACGAATGAGGGCGTCATTGAGTTCCGCTCCTATTCAGACATGAGGAGAGCCCTCGACAAGTTGGATGGCACCGACATCAATGGCCGCAGGATTCGTCTGGTAGAAGACAAGCCACGCCGTCGTCGCTCATACTCCGGCAGTCGATCTAGGTAATCACACGGACTCGTGCTTGTTTGAAACCTAATATCAGAGGAATTCAAGTTAAATTAATAGTGATCACAAAGTTGAACTTCCGGTAAAATTCATTGATTTATTTTACACTTCTGCCCTTTACAAATGATTTGTGATGCAAAGTAATCCATGATTTCGGAGTACGCATTCAGTGCTGACATCAGAACTTCAGTGTGCCTTTACTGTCTGTCAGATTTTCATGAAAATTTTATGTTTGCTTAGTTGCTGGACAATTTATATATGTTGCATGTATTGAAAGTAACATCATAGTCATTGCCCTGACACATTTGAACTGTCTTATAGGTCCCGCAGTAGGAGACGGTCGCGTAGCAGAAGCCGCAGAAGCAGCCGCTCTCGTAGTAACTCTCGATCTCGATCACGGTGAGATGTTTTGGCAGTGCTGAAATTCACTTTACATTTGTACTGTATTTTGTCTAAGTAAATAATGGCCCTTTTTAAACAGGTCTCGTTCCCGCAGCAAGCGACGGTCCCGTTCCAGGTCTGGCGGTAAATCCCGCTCCAGGTCTGGCCGCAAGTCTCGGTCCAAGTCCCCGGCCCGCAAGTCCCGGTCCCGTTCCCGCAAGTCTCATTCTCGATCTCGTACCAGGAAATCTCATAGCCACTCAGCGGACCGCAAGTCTCGGTCTCGCTCCCATAGCCGCAAGTCCCGCTCAAAGAGTCGCTCTAAGCCGAGGTCCGACCATGCCTCCAGAAGTCGCTCCAAGGAGAAGTCCGTCACCAAGAAGTCCCACTCTCCATCCTCCATGGAAAACTTTAAAGCTGAGCGAGCAAAGTCTGCGTCACGTTCTCCATCCCCCCAGGATGACGTCCGTCGCTCAAAGTCTCCTGCCAAACGGTCGCCCTCCCGCTCTCCATCGCGATCCAAGTCTCGCTCGAGGTCTGCCTCTCAGGACTAACTATACGTAATCCAATCATGCTTAGCTGGATGCTCATTTGGGCTGGCTGTTTTTGAAATTGTTTAGTATTCTTACTTTCGATCCTTTTGTATAAATACTTGCTAGTGAACCTAATCAAATATCACGTTTGGACATAAAATGGTAGATATTGCACGGGGTGGTCAGGTTGGACAGCTGCTGTGTTACTGATGTGTATACCCGATGGGAAGCTAAATCGTTAACACACTTTACCTTTCTGCTATTTTTCCTCCCATTTGCCAAATCTAACTTTTTTTTTTTGTCCCACAAATACCTAAAAAAAACGTGCTTTGGGGGCGTTAGTACTGGACTGAGTTGTGACTGATGTGACAAAAGTAGGTTGTAGCAGTTGGATCATTCTTACAGTGTCTGTGGTAGTTTTGAAGTTCTCTAAACAGTAACCTAGCATGCTATCTTAAGAATTCCTAACAGTTCCACCTTTATATTTGGAATGTCCCTTTTTACTGTTTTATAAATGTTTTTCAGACTTTTTTTTTTTTTTGGGATGTGCATGACGTCAGTCATAGTGAAGATGTTTGTTCTGTCGAACAGTACAAAACATGGCAGTGTACATTTTTGATAGCCCAGCCTTCTCTTGACTTAAATATTTGTTAAACTGGTTTCAGTGGTGTTAGAAATCTGTGTAATGAATCATCAATTTGTGTAAATCAGGTTAAACCATTTCCTGTTTTTTCCCTTCGTAGAGAAATTCATTTATACTTTACCTCTTTTGTTTGTAATGTACAAATGAGTTTAATAAATAGTTGATTTAATGTTCAGTTGTCAACACGTTTGTTCAGCAGGTAAGTGGAAAATTGCATTGCAGCAGTGCTTACAGAAATATTAGAGGTATTTTATTACTTTGGGTTTAAGATGTTGGTGGTATAGTGTAATATCAAGTGGAGTCACTTTGTGATTTATCGATTTTATGTGAAATACTAATGAAAGCAATAGCTTAATTGGTTTAATACATTTTACAAATTAAAATAATCATTTTAAAGTATATTTTGGAGCAAAATTTCCAAGTAGGCTTTTACAAAGTACACACACACTTCTACACTTCATGGTATGTCTGGAAATTATCGCTAGTGTTATAATTAACTGCAGTAATTCTATTTCCTCAGTTATCAGTACAAACTGCCATGGGTATAGGCAATGGATGATTGTACCACTAATCTTGTATTTGTGGTAAATGGCAAGATTCAAAGCATCTGAGGTTTTATCCATTAAACACCCCGAGGAAATTCATTGCACGAGCCACATACATCACGAAATAAACGCCGTAATCATTTAAATCATTCTAAATCATTTTCCTTAACTTTAATACGAAAAGTTTTAATTGGCATCGCTTCCAATAAAAGTGTATAGTGAACTCCGCGTTGCTTGGGTGGGCCGTTGCTATGGAGTGAGCTGTCATGGTTACAGTGTAACATTCTTACCCACAATGCCTTATGGTCGGTGGGCTTTAGAGAAGATGGTGTTGTAAAGTCTAAGTAACGCAGGGATGCCTTATTTCTGTTGCAGGGGCATCTTTTTGGAATCGCTTTTAAAGTGGAATTTGGAAGACGTACGTTTTAATGCAATCATTATTCGGATACCACGACCTTGCTTTTTAGTGAAATTAAGAGCTAGCTAGCTATCAAGTAAAAAGGAGCGTTGTTGCGTGTTCTTTAAGTTAACGCTAGCTATATTTTACGGATTCCGTGCATGCTTATTTACATCAAAGTTAACCCAGCTGAACTGGCAGACTGTAATTAAATCCTGTCTTCACCGGGAAACTAAACGTAAAATCCTGATAAATATAGCGTGCGCTAAAGTTGCATTATGAGAGCTATGCCTCATTTTGTTCTCTGCTGCCATTGCAGATATTTAGCATGCAGTTAGCCTAAACTTTCTACAAAATGGAGAAAGAGCAGCGAAACGTAATAGCCTTCAACGCCTCCAAAAAGGAGCTGTTCACGGCTAGCAGTGGCTACAAGTCCCTGCAGAAGAAGTTACGGGCACAGTGGAGGATTCAGAGGTAGCTGCTTTTGTTTTTATTAAAACGTGTATTGTAATGTGTGCAGTGCCTGCAATTCTGTTTAAGAATTCTTAAATAAATTCAATTCTTGAATGTCTTGTGCTTCACAGTATTAAAGAGGAGCTGTCTTTGGACAAGCTCAGTGGTGTGCAGTTATGGATCACTGCGGGACCAAGAGAGAAATTCACGGCAGCCGAGGTTATACTGATTGGGGAAAAATGTGTTTTTTTCGTAATCACTTTAATTTGATATTTGTTTTTAATTAATATTTAATATTCTCTGTTCAAACTTAGTGATAGCGAGTTCTTAACGTACCAGTCATTATTTTTCTCTGTTATTGTTGTCGTCATTGTTTTCAGTACCATGTTTCCTGTCATTTGCTGATATCCAGTTAGAGGTTCTCAAGCAGTACATCAGTGGTGGAGGACATATCCTGGTGATGCTGGGTGAAGGAGGGGAGGCAAAGTATGACACTAACATTAACTTCCTTCTCGAGGAGTTTGGAATAATGGTTAACAATGGTTAGTGCACTCTGAATGCAATTTATTATTAGCTTATTGCTAATCTTCTCATGACAGCTTTCAGTTCTGCCCGTTTAAAGTGTGACTGTCTTTAAACATTTCATTAACAGATGCTGTGGTGAGGAATGTTTATTACAAATACTTTCACCCAAAGGAAGCACTTGTCTCCAATGGTGTGTTGAACAGGTATACTTGTCCAGTCTCATACTTTATGCTCTTCTGTCATGCATTCAATGAAGTCCATTGAGTCTTGCTTGGGTAATGGATTTTTAATAGAAATCGTGATATTTTTGCATAGATGGTAAAATCACTTTCTAAAACTTTCTAAATACAGTAATTTTCAGTTATCTTTCCACTTGATCATTGGAATTCCTACACTGAACAGATGTGACATGTTTGGGTATTGGTGAATTTTTGACTATTAATATTAGTGAAGAGCATGTGCTCAAAAATACTGTTTAATTGGGCAATACCAGTACATTGATTTAACCTAATGCAAAATAACTTTACCTCTGTACTGAGTGAGCACACAGCGTGTATTGATGAGATTTACAGGCGGGAAAAGTTAGTCTGGAGGTAAATTTCGAAATGTATTACAAGTGTTTGTCATTTACTTTAAATATTGGTTCTCACCTATTTCCTTATATACTGCATTAAATAACTTTGAATTACCAATCTGCTGCAGTTTAATCCATTCAAGTTTTTTTTTTTGCCCCCAGAGAGATCAGCCATGCAGCTGGTAAAACGATAACGGGGGTCATAGATGATGAAAGCACAGGAAACAACGCAGGGTGAGTTTGCATTACAGTTATATTACCAATCGTATTACTTTAGAGAAATTTTGACCCTGTTTGATATGAATTAAAAGCCACACCAAAATCATTTTTAATCTTCCATCCATTCATTTTCCATACCCACTTGTCTGATGTTAATTATAATCATTTCCTCATACAGGTCTCTCACATTCGTCTATCCTTTTGGAGCGACATTGAATGTGATGAAGCCGGCGGTGGCTGTGTTGTCCACTGGCTCTGTCTGCTTCCCTTTGAACAGACCCATTCTTGCCTTTTATGATGTCAAGGTGAGCAGCAATTTCCTACCCACCGCCTGTCTTCTTGCCCATAACATTGACTCTCTTGTTCCTATAATGTCTCTGGAGGAACTCCAGGTTCTCACAGGAGATCTCCTTTTTTGTCTTATGCTGTACAGATGGCGGGTAGGCTGGCTGTTCTAGGGTCATGCCACATGTTTAGTGATCAATACTTGGACAAGGAGGAGAACAGTAAAATCATGGTGAGCATGCAGTTTGCTATGCCTCTTAATGACATTGTCTCACCGATGGTGCAGAATGGTTGTATGGGTTATGTCTATCTGCTTACCAAGCCCTTGTCTTATTTCCGTTTTGCAGGACGTTGTCTTCCAGTGGCTAATGACCGATAGCATCCACTTGAACCAGATAGATGCTGAGGACCCTGAGGTGAATGGGACTTAGGAGGAGTCCTTACTTTCACATTGCGTGGGCCTGGCCTTGATCCTGTGTATGTGCCTTGCAGATTACAGACTACACCATGCTGCCAGATACTGGGTGTCTATCGGAGCGACTACGGGTGTGTCTGCAAGAGGGAGATGAGAACCCCAGAGATTTCACCTCTCTCTTCGATATGTCTCTTTTTAAGTTGTCCACTGACTCTCTGCCTCGTGTTATCAGGTGCATTTGATGTCGATCCCTCACTTGGGTACACTTATCATTAAGATAAGCATTCACTATGTCTCTGTATTCTGGGCATCTTTGAGGTAGTTCCAGGATAAACTGAGAAGTATTGCGGTTTCCCTGGTCTCAATACTCCATCTGCTTTTGCAGCACCTACAAGCAACTAAATGTGAAGCATGAACCACTTCAGCTGATCCAGCCTCAATTTGAGACACCTCTGCCCGCACTTCAGCCAGCAGTAAGGAACACTAATGGTTATCCACAACACTGGGTGCTTTTCCACCACACCAGGTACCCTACTTTTGGTACTTCAAGAAAGTACCAAAAGTATGGTACTTAAAGGTGTTGCTTTTCCATTGGCGTAAAAACATCACAACGCCCCAATATTTATTACAAAAAAATCACATCACTACTATATCCGTGTTGACCTAGAATATAAAACAAAATATTTTTAAAATTTATCATGCAGTTCTTATCTTTTTGTTTTTTTCTGTTTTCCGACTAGATTAGTTTTTTTTTTTATATATCTTTTCATAATACACTCCAGTGTTTATAGCTTCTATGATATACTAATAACCAAATTCAATAAACATTAAGAATATGCCTCCCATTAATATCTTAGGCATACTACTAATCTGCTTACCAAATAGTGAGCGTAAGTAAACGTCTGTATAGCACCGAAAAGCCGGTATCCTGACAAACGTTTATGCTCGTCATCTAAAGCTCTGGCGTTCTGCATGCACTATGTAATCACGATGATACTGTTCAGCCCTGATTCATATTTATATTTATTGTTATTTTATACTTTTAAAATTCTCTAAAGCTAGCATTTGGCATAAATATTTGTTTTTTTCTGACCCATATTTATCTTATGTTTGTTCAGATTGCAGTCTTCCTGCATTAAAAGCACTTTTGCTGACAAACAGAAATGCCCTTTGTGCTGCATTAGCTAAAGGAGCTAATGCTGCCTTCTGCCTATTTCCTCCAGGTGTTTCAGCCAGCCTTCAGGGACCTTCCCCCTCCAATGCTTGATCTTTTTGATCTCGACGAGACTTTCTCATCTGAGAAGGTCAGATTAGCACAGCTGTCCAACAAATGTGAGTTCGCACTTTTGTCCAATATTATGTTTTGTCAACTTCAACATAATCTGATTAACCAGCAAAAGATAATGTGAGATTTAGAGTGTGGACCAGTTTGGAACTTCAGTAAAACTATTTCACATCTGATTTTTTTTTTTAATTCTTAATTCAGGCACCGATGATGACCTGGAGTTCTATGTCCGCAAATGCGGGGACATCCTAGGGGTAACTGGAAACCTGCTTGGGGAGCAGAGAGAAGCCAAACACATCCTTGAACACATCTTCTTCCAGGTGGTGGAGTTCAAAAAACTCAATCAGGTTAGACAGCTGGTTTTGCAAAATCATTTTTACTTCATAACGAACACACATTTGTCTTAGAGTATCGTTTCAAGAAAACTGACTAATTTCATTCTTGTCTCAACTACCACTAAAGTAACTTCCATACTCTGCTTTGTGTATTTAACTGTAGATATTTGGTATTTTAATATTCAGGTTGCTCTAGAACAAGATCATTCCTCAAAACTGGACAAGGGTCAATTCTAGTTTCATTCCAACTAAACTAGGTAAATTGTTTTAAAACTATGAAGTTCCTTGCTAAATCATGCAACAGTGAATTAAAACATTTTAGATTTTCTCACCTTCTCAGGATCTTTCTTTACCACCACCAGTCATGTATTTTGTGTTTTTCCATCTGCTGTTCTCCATTTCCACATTGTTTGCTTAGAATCGCCTAGTTTAATGAAATTCTTCATGCACCCATAAATTACGATGAAATTGAGATGTATATTTGTAGCAGTTTCAGGTAAGGTGGCCATTGAAGTTAATTGTTGACATTACAACCTTACAGTTACCATTTTCAATCACAGGAGCATGAGATTGATACAGCAGAAGCAGCATTTTCGCCATTCTGAAGGTTGTGGGGGAAAAAGCTTGTCATTCTTCCAGCAGCGGCAGAAGGACACTAGTTTGTATAAAGGCAGAATTTATGCTCTATTAAAGTTGTTAGCTTCCGAACCATTTTGTAACCAAAACACTAAAGGCCTTTTCATTTGAGCAGTTAGTGTAAATTGTGTATGTCAGAATGCTAATCTTGTAAAAAAAAATAAAAAGATTGATGTTAATACATTGTTTTATTGAATTTGATTTAAAGTTACCACAAAGAGTACACCACTTTAAACATTAAAAACCACCACATAGCCATATTGATTTGATACCACAGACAGTCTTGATTTTGAATATCAGAATCGTTGACAGGGATTACTTGCTCAAACTCCAGTTAGTCTTTGAGGCATAGGGTGAGAGGTTTGCCGTGTGTTTCTGCCACCGTACCTCAGCGACATGCTCAGAAAACCTGTCTGAAGAAGCCTGGTTTGACCTCAAGACAGGGGCTTCCTTCCAGGACCTCTGAGCTCCATCACTGACATTTGGGGAGATTCCAGAACAGCCTAGAGAGGAAATCTCAAATAGGGAAGCAGAGGCTGGTTGATACTTGGGGCTCCAAGTTGGTTCGTCAAGTAGACTTGACTCCGGGTTGCATGGAGAGCTGATGGGGCCAGACTTGATGAGCGAGATCTCCCAGGAAAACTGGCTGGCTGCTTGATCCACAGAAGCGTGTTCTACGGGACCTCCCAGGATCATCTTTTTGACATTTTCCCCCTCACATGGAGTAGAGGACTTGCTGCCCACAGGAATAGCATTACTAAGTTTTGGTGTCTCACTCGGACCAATATGTGACTCAGGAAAGACAGAGGGGGATAGCAGGGTGGGCGAGTGGGTCCAGGAGGCAAAGCTGGAAGGGCTAGCCTCAGTATACTCCACTACAATTCCAGAACAAGAAATATGCCATCTTTGGCCTTCTGGTGGCAAGTCCAGCAGGGAAGCAGACACCGATAAGCTCTTGTCCACTAAAAACCCCCGGTTTAGATCTGTAGAAGAGGAAGCCTCGTTGCTCTTTGATAGATCGAGATCTAGAAGAAAAGTAGCCCTACATTAGCCACTAAGTTTAATTTTTGCATTAAAGAGAAAGTGCTGCTTTTACTTAATGAGGATACTTCCCTTATACACGCAGAAACCACTTCAGAAAGCATCTTAATCAACTTTAAAGTCTTTAAAGTTTTGATTGACTTTAAAACAAAATTTAATAATTTGTTTATCAAGTCGTACTACACACAATTTAAAGAATCGCCCTTACCACAAACTGTTCGCAACTTCTCCATGGCAAGCTGAATGTATGGGAATAGCTTAATAAGCTTCAGCTTGCATTTATAGGCTCCCACCCCATCCCACCCCACCCACTTTACGGAGCGCCATCAGCAAGCATTTAGGAATTGAATTGCCTATTTAAAATAATGAAACCAACTGAACAATTTTAAACAGAAGGATTGTAGTACAACCTAGCACAAGTGATACGCCCACTACAATGCATTAGTATCTTTAAAACTCAATCCTGTGGATGAACTGCATATGCTACTTTTTGTTCTAACTGCTAATTAATTAGGCTTAAATACTGCTGATTAAATTCTGACTGTGATTTGTCCTCGAGGTTCGTGTATACCAGGGTTCTTCAAATCTGGACCTTGATTCCAAATCCAGGTCTTGTTTTCAGTTCTCCCAGGTAGTTAGTTTAATAATTACTGATTCTGATTGGCCAAAGAGGCTTCACACCTAGGGTGACCAGATAATCCATGTCAGGGAGACACTTTGAGCTACTTTGGGTTTTACAAACTACTTTCAAATTGAAAGACTCCTGTGCTCAGCTAAATAGTTCAGCTCTTCTTGTGCTTTGACTGGTTTGTTTCCTTGCCTGAAAGACTCATCCAGCTGTTTCACATTAACATTAGTGACACATGCATGATTATAGGTGACTGACCAATCAGCACACAGAAAGAACTCAGTGCTGAAGTGAAATCCAGGTCCTTTTAATTGAAATGGTAATTTACAATTCCTGTCCTAGCTCAGAGTGTCCTCCCTGACATGGATTATCTGGTCACTCTAATCACACCTGACTGACAAGTAAAGGAAGGCTGGAAAACCAGCAGTGCTCAGACCTCAAGGACTATGATTTGAATAACCCTGGTGTATGCAGTTAAAAACATTGTAGTGATTCATTTGGCCGTTAATGTGGGTACATGAAGAAAGGTATGGTCTTTATGATTTTAGCAGATTTCTGGATTATTATTACCGGATCTTCTCTTATAATTAAGCAACTGATTGGTATCTTGATGATTTTACCATTGTTAAGGTTCACAAATATTTCAAATCATGTTAACAGATTTGACTTTCAATTTGATCGTACCTATAATCAGCATAAGAACATAAGAAATTTACAAACGAGAGGAGGCCATTCGGCCCATCAAGCTCGTTTGGGGAGAACTTAGCTAATATCTCAGAGTTGTTAAAATCTTATCTAGCTCTGATTTAAAGGAACCCATGGTTTTAGCTTCCACTACAATAGCAGGAAGACTATTCCATACTCTGACTACACGCTGTGTAAAGAAGTGCTTCCTCAAATTTGTTTTAAAATGTTCTCCCGCTAATTTCCACTTATGGCCACGAGTTCTAGTATTTAGACTAATATTGAAATAGTCATTTGGCTGAACGGCATCCAGACCCGTTAGAATCTTATAGACGCTAGTGTAGCGGAAGCTA